AGGCTTGATGTTGTTGTTGTTGTTGTTGTACCTTTTCTGTAAAATTTTTTAAATAATGAAACATTGATAAATAATCTCACTTATATTTTCCCAAATTTCTATGCATATAAACCTAGACCATTTTAATTGTACTAATATTTAGATTTATTCTGTTTCTTGCTGAGCCACAAAAAATTTAACAATTAACATAATGCTAAACGAACTATGTTTTCTACCTGAATTTTATTATGAGAACTCTTTGAAGACTTAACTAATTTCATGCTTCATTTTAAAATTTAAAAATTATATATATATATACTCTTATTTTATAATTTTTATTTACAACAAATAAATTAAAATAGTGAACACGTCGAAATAAAAGTCCATATAATGTACTTATTATATATCTTATGCTTTAATCTTTTAATTATCGTGATTGTGAGATTTTAATAGAATATTATACACGCAAATAAATTAACATCATCAGCAATGGAAAAATTTATAAAATCATATTATACTAGAATATTTAATTTTATTATAGTCTTAAATAGTTAAATGTAAGAAAATGGTTGTTGATTATTTGTTTGTTTTTTTCCTTTGTTGAGTGAAAAATATTACTCAATTCTAAATACATTACATAATCCAAGATTTCAATTTGAGCCGTCAACGATCCCATCTTTCTCTATTCGACCTTCCACCGTATCAAGAAAAACGACCTCTTCAACGCCGTCGATCCGACCTCTACCACCGGCAAAATTTTTCTCTCCGTTTTGCGGTGGCGCCAGCGCCAGCTCCGCTGTGGTCTCCCTGAACTTGGCATATATATCTCCCTTATAGAAATTCCTAGTCCTCACAACCAAAAGAAGCGAAACCATCGCGCCCATCACAGTAGCCGCCGTAATAATAAGAAAAGATAACTGAAAACACTTCACTCCAATACAAGTCGAGTCATTTACATCGCCGGTCACCGCCGTTTTGTTCTGTCTAGCCGCCTCCCTGTCGTATAAACGCCCTGCCACTCTTACGTTCAAAATATAAGACCCAACTGGGCTCGCTATGCCGCCTAAGTTGTAGAGCGTAGAGTAATATTTAAGCCCAAATACTTCAGAAATGATCGCAAAAAGTAACGGCCACTGAGCGCCGAAGCAGAATCCGATGATGACCGACGCGATGTAGAGCGAGTTTGGGACTCCAAAAGCTATGAGAAGATGCCCCGCGCATGCCAAGAGGAGAACCAAAGTAAGCATAAGTGGTCGTGAAAAATTGTATTTTTTTAAGAAAATCTCAGACAAGAAGCCCGCTGCAAGTCTTCCCATCGCGTTCCAGATGCTGACCAGAGAAACAAAAGTGCTTATGCTTTTAGAAGGGTAGCCTAAAGATTGGCCAATCTGCCCCAAATTGTCGATGGCAGTCAAGGTTCCCCCAACGCCACAGATTGTTGAAAAAAATAGGACGATCATGTCTATGCTGAATAAGGCTTGTAGAATGGTGTAGTCTTCTCCCCTAGCTGGCGGCCGGAACATTTTAGTTATGGTTGCAAGAGCAGTCTTCTTAGGTAGCTTGTCCTCTAGCGATGTCTCAACGGAGGTGTTGGAGCTTTCGTTGACTGTCGTGACTATTACGGGAGTTGGTGGTTTAGTTTCACTCTGTTCCAGCTGGTTGCTCTGCTTCTTCAAAATGTTTAGTTCTTCATTGATGACAACAACGACGGGGAGAAACAGAAGGAAGATGACAACAGCACCATTCGCTATGTATTCTGCGCGGCTGAAATTTGTGACCTTTTCGAGCACAATGAAAACGAGAAGGTACCCGCTGAGCGCAACCGTGAGGTACAGAAAGTAGTAAAAAGGTCTGGTTTTGACAGTTTCGGAGCCGCGCGGTGGCTTCATAATGCGAATAGTGTAAACAAAAAAAATAGAGATCGCAGCCGGAAGCCAAGCGATGAGTAGCACAAGTGACTTAGAATCGTCTCCATAGAAAGCAGGATACAGCTGTGTGAGAATAGCTCCGCTGAGTCCAACGAAACATTTAAGCAAACCAAGAACGATGCCGCGGCTTTCAGGGAAGTTTTTAACACAGGTCACTAAAGCACCGGTGTTGGCGAAGGTTTGGGAGTTGGCACCGATACATATGAAGAGGCACATCTGCCAAACTGGAGGCTTAGTTATGCGGGAGATGATGGCGAGGTAGATCATGAGATAGCCGAAGAGATTCATAGCGGCGCCGAGAAGGAGGACGACGAAGGGAGGGGCGACTTCGTTAATGAGGCCGGAGACGATGCCGACGTTGGCTCCGAGGTCCTTGAAGAAGGAGAGGGTGTTGAGGGTTTGTTGGTTGTAGTGGAGGGAGGATTTTAGGACGGGGGAGTAGATGCTGAAGATGTAGGTCGCGCCGGCGGCTGACAAGATGAGGAAGCAGGCGTAGACCATGAACCAGCGGCCTTGGATTACTCGGGTGGTAAGATAGAGTGGGCCGCCGGGGACTGCCATTCTCCCACTCTCTCTCTCTCTCTCTCTCTCTCTCTCTCGGGTTTGGACTTTAAGAGGATGCTGAGGATAGATATAACGACGGAGGGGAACGGTGATGAGCATATGAAGACAAAAGGAGAAGAAAAAGGAGATATGGATTGACTTTGAACTGTTGACTTTACAACTTTGCTCCATCTTAAATGCTAATGTAGATCGGATCGGATTTTGAAATCGTAAAATTAAAAAACTTATGCAATAAAAATATACAAGAACAGTTTAGAAATATAAATATATTAATTTATTTTAATTAAGTACAATGTATAATTAATTCGCATAATACTTATCTTCAAATAAATTTAAATTTAAAAATTCATTCTTAGCAATAACTTGATCAAATTATTCTGATTTATTTGCTTCTAAAAAAATTAAATTCAGCTTATAATATTTAGAATGAATTTTATTTATAAATTAAAGGGCTGAACTATTTAATCGTTTTTAAAAGTAGCATTTTTCTGATTTGAAAAATCATTTAGTCTTCGTTTGGGACGGTTTTCTTATTGCTTTCTAAAATGGAGTTTTAGTATAATTTTTTTTTTGAACTAAAACTCCGTTTTAGAAAGCATTAAAAAAGCCGTCCCAAATGACACCTTAATTTGGTTGTTGCTAGACCCAAAAGCTTCGAATGGTCCAATGATTACTACAATTGGAAGCGTTCCATTCATTCTTTATTTAACTTATCCCATTAATTCAAAGCAAAATTATGTTGGAAGCTTGAAAAATTAAATCAGAAGCCATCTGAACTCCGATTTCAACAAACTTATAGTCGAACTGAATGTCTCGGAAATACGAACTCAACGACACCAAATTCGACTCAATCTGAGCTAAAATTAGTCCAATTCAAAGGCCCAAAGCACATTCGGAAGGTTCGAACTACAATTTGGATTGCCAAACGATTTCCAAATGTGACATGCTTATAGTCGAATCGAGCGGATCAACAAGACGAATCCAACGAACGAAAGATAGTCAAATTCCGATATCATCAAGACCTTCAGATGTCTGACAAACGGTCCACAATCAAGGGATTCAATATCGGTCGTCCATCCAAACCACTCCACATTTGCCCTTAACCCTCCTCTTATTTACGGGTCATGTCACTCTCAGAAAGCTATAAATAAGAGAAGAAGAGGAGGGAAGAAACTAAGAGAAGAAGAAGGAGAAAATAAGAGAAGAAGAGGAGGGAAGAAACTCCTCCTCGACCATCGTTGGAGTTCCACTCGACTTTCAAGTGACGCCGGAGTTCCGCCCAACTTTCAAGTGATGTCGTTGTTTCATCCGACTTCCAAGTGACACCGGAGTTCCTCCCGACCTTTAAGTGACGCCGGAGTTCCTCCTTAACTCCAAGTGACGCTGGAATTCCGCCCGATCTCCAAGTGACGCCGGAGTTCCTCCTGAACTACAAAGTGGCCTCGGAGTTCTGCTCGACCTTCAAGTGATGTCGGAGTTTCATCCGAACTCCAAGTGATGCCGGAATTCCGCCTGACCTCCAAGTGACTCGGGAGCTTTGTCTGACAACCGAGTGACGCCAGTTTTCTGCCCAACCACAAATTTACATCGGACTTCTACCCGACACTGGACTTTCGCTTGACACCGGATTCCTACCAAATGCTAGACTTCTACCCGATACCAGAATTCTGTCAGACTTCTACCCGCAATAGGATTTTTGTTCGTCGCCAGACATTCGTCAGACTTCTATCCAACACTAGACTTATGTCCATCGCTGGACTTCTACCTGACGGAGGTCGGGCTAACTACGATCCTTATGACTTACGTTGCCCACCAAGTACAGTCCTTTTGACCTCCATCACCGACCAACTATGGTCCTTCCGACTTATGTTGCCCAACGACTACAGTCCTTCTGACCAAACAAACACATCAATATTGATTCTTTATATTTACACAATGTAATGTACTCTATAAAATTTACATCAAGCCATGACATTTCTCCCATAAAAGGGCCTCAGTTGTAATCAACTGTAAATAATAGTAGATTCATTCAAACTGGGCTAGGCCCCATGATTTTTCACCCCTTTTCAGGGATTTTCCACGTAAAATATATTGGTGTCTCTAGTGAATGGTGCACCCTATCTTTTTTCTGTGTGAATACTAGATCTTCGTACAACGCTAAGATACTAAACTTCATATTTCTCTGTCGCCGCAAATACTCGAAGTTGCAATAATATTTATTTGATTTTAAAAGAATTCAAATCTTAATTAGGCGCTTAAAGTATGGTTAAAAATTTTCTGACACTATTGATGGATTAAACAATATTTGAATGTTGCTTGCTTAAAGTAAAAGCAAGCATTGCAATGATTGAAATTCAATAAGCTCCATATGCAGCAGTAGAGTCAAAAAATTTTCTTAAGGTAAGCCTAATTTTATTTCGACACATTTTCTAACAACATTTTTCCATTAAGATTGGTATAACATAGCTAGTTTTTTTTTTCATTTTATTATTTAAATAGAAAAAATATTAAATATAAGATAATAAAAAACTTACAATTTATAGTGTTTGTTCTTCATATTCTGAAAGAGTTGAATGGCTACTTTATTATTAATACAATCTAATATTTATTTCTCAATATAAGCAATAAATCTATCATTTTGCCGTTAATCTTCAATTCTATTTCACAACTGATTTTCTATAATATTCATAGCATAAAATACCCTTTCAATTTTTGATGTTACAATATATAATACTAATGCTAATTTTAATATTATGAAAAAAAGGATATAAAATATCCTTCCTACCTTAGATCATTTTTTTTAGAAAAGTTTCATATATCTTTTAATGAATAAAAATTATTCATCATATAGCATATCCATAATATAAGTGTCCAACTAATTTTCCAAAATCACTTAATCAAATGGAGTAAAATTAGTTGGATCAAATTATGTTTTTAAATTTTGAAAGTTTAAATTAATTTGTTAGACTGACTTGAACTACAAATGCACACTAATGGGGAGTTAATTGGTGTTTAAAAAACTCCCTTTAAAAAATATCCTTTAGAAAATTAATTATTTAACAAAATATTTCGATAACACCAATTTAAACAAAAACTATTTTTGACTTTAAGCAATACTTCTAAAGAAGTTTTTTTTTTCTTTTTGTACAAAAGTAAGATATTCAATTTTTGAAAAAAAAAAAAAAACTCACAGACCACAAATATACAATAAGTAAGACGCAAGAAATAAAATGTAGAAAAGTAATGGAAAACATAAGAACAAACACACAAGAGTTTATTAGTGGTTCGATTAACCTTGATCTACGTCCACTCCCCATAGTCTTTTGCTCCAAGTATTACACCAATACTAATGACTCTTCTTTTGCCCCAACAGTTAGGCAGAAAATCCCTTATAAATCTTTTCCACCTCTTCGGTCCGACAAAGTAGCCGGGCTCCTTTCCCCTTCCTGGTGTGACAGAGTAGCCGATAACCCTTTAACATCCTTGGTGTGGTGGAGTAGTTGAATCCCTTTCACCTCCTTGTTAAGGTAGTGTGGCCAAATTCTTTCCACCAAGAGACACTTCCCAGAGTTTACCTTAAGAAATGACACTGACATCATAGGAAGAAAGTGCAAGATCACTGAGCAACCATTTATAGAAATCCCTCTCACATACTCTCTTATCCCACAAAAATCTTCTTCCTCAAGACTTCAACTTTCATTCTCTCCATCTCTCCAAAGTGATTCTCCATCTTTAAACCCTTCTTTAAGAAACTCTCCCAAAAAGAAGTGGCAAAAGAATCTCTAAGATGAATTAGGGATGATATTTAAATAAAGGCTCCAAAAATATTAAATTTCCAAGTTAGTCATTTTTGTTTGTACATTATGATATATTATCGTACTATATGAATAGTTCAAAAACCCATGTTAATCCAATACGACTAAATAGTCCCAGCATGATTTATTCAAACATTAAATACCGATCATAAAAAATGATCATTGGATCGTACAATATAATTAATTCATTCTTCTCAAGATTATACAAGATAAACTTTTGGATGATTGAAGATCATCTTTGTGACTCATCCAATACGATTGAAATCATACTGTATGATTAGTAAACAAATTAAGGTTTCATCTTGAATGATCCCTGTGAGGATTGAATTTATTCTCTATCAATCATCTAGTATGATCAATAACATATTGTATGATATGTCATATTAATTAAACATTTATTTGATTGACTAGTCATGAAGACTTATTTAGTTAATAATTAAATAATATATAGTACAAATGTGTTCCTACATGATTATTAGTTCAATATTTAAAAATTAAAATAATTAAAAAAAATTATTTGGTAGTTAGGGTTATTGATTTAAACTGATTGTCTTGTATGATCTAGTTTGTTCAAAACAATTAGTTTAAAAAATATTAAGTACTCAATTAGCAATTTTATTTAATTTTTTTAGTAATTGATCATACAATATGTTGTTTATCATAGATTATATAGTATGAATTTCAAAAAAATTGAAATTCATGCCATCACTCCCCCATGTATATGGGCACTATCACCATGTTAACATACACCCTAATAAGACTTTGACTCAAAAAATATATATAAAAAAATTAAAATTACAAACTTTTGCAAATATCATCTTATTCTACCCAATATTGAGTCATAATTCTTTATTGCACTATGCATTATATTCCTGAAATGTTAAAGCATATATGCAATATAAATTATAGGAAAAATAAAGAGAAATTAAAAAAAGGTTTATTATCATGAAAATCATAAACTTAGGATCTCATATTGAAATATAATCAACTTGTATTTATTGAATGCATAAAATTCTTTATTAGGATTCAAAAAGGATTTAGGAAAAAGTGATTATATATTTGCTTCTATAAAATGATTATTCAACTCTTGAAGTTATATATCAATGACTCTATAAAAATATGAACATAAAAATGATAAAAAATTTGTTATCTCTTAAGCTCAACGATGAGGTCATCCATGAGCAACCCATTTATCATCTATATATAATACATTT